TGATGTAAATAAAAATGCTTTTAATTCACAATATATCTCATTAGAAGCATTAAGTATTCTTTCAGAATAAAGTTTTATATTTTTTCAATTTTCAAATAGACAAAATATATGTATATTCGCATGCAATGTTCCCATGTTAGTCTAAATGTATATATTCGTCTAGTATCTTATTAAATGCTTCGCTGTTCCATATCGGCCATCTCTACTGATAATTTCTGCTCATAAACGTTAAGCAAACTTTAAGGAATCCACTTTACACTTTAAAAGAAAACTTTTAGGTGGCCGTTAACATCTGAATCTTTTGACATTTTTTTCTTTTAAATTTTTTTAAGTATATTAATCTTTGGCAATAATTATGTTCGATTTTCTCGAACTATAAAAATCTTTATCTCTTTCACTTTCATGAGAGTAATTGGCAACATAATTAAGTACTTGCATGCAACCATTTCCATGCTAACCAACTTAAAGGATTTAAGCCTAAATGAAATCGAAATAAGATTCAAACATGATTGCTGGCTAACGAAGTTTGATGTAATGCAATTTTTTCCTGAGTATATGATTAAATTTTTGTAAACGAAATGTATCCTAACGGTGATAAACTATCACACTTTCCCCAAAATATTACGCGCTTAATTTATCTGTCATTTGACACTTTTGCATGTGAGAATTTTTTTCATTTTAACATATTCATTCCCTCTTTCAGCCTTTCTACTCCAATCTGGCGCATAAGCCTTTAAATCTTTCCCTCCATCCCTTGAGGTTTGATGACGTTTTAATAGCATGTCTTGTCTTCATCCAGCTTTTATCCCAGCCGTCTGCAACCATTTTTGGCTGCAAGTCAAAATCAACCAAAATATGTGTATCAAACCGCCGTTTCGGGTCAGTGATATTTTTTTGCTTTAAAACAGTCCGTTTTGGTGAATAAAAGGAGATATTTTATTGAGAAAATAATTACATGAAAATTAAAATGCTAATTCAAATTATTTTAAAAATAAACACAGTTGAATGAACTTCGATTTTTCTCTTCGATATGAACTGATGAACCCTGATGCTGAACTTGTAATGTCGGTTTAGTGAAGCCTCCCTTATAATAAGTCTTATTACTTATAACAAGTCTTTATTACCGCAACTTTCTAATCAAACAAAAATGTTATTATTATTATTTATTTTCGGTTTATTTTTATGTCTTCTTCAAGTGTTCGTTCCATATTTGTGTTTTTTAATTTATTTTTACACATCATACTTTATTTTCGGAATTCATGTGAGTCATTTGGAATTATGAAATGGGTCACTCAGTGACCTGGGAGTCATAAATTTCTAAGGCTTTTTTGTCCCATTCTCCTTCCTCCAAACCGGTTTTGGTTTTCTTCTTCGCCTTTTCTCTTTGGTACCTCCATACAATACCAATTTTTGATGTTCCGTAACTGGCATTTTTATTATGTGTCCAACTTCTAGCGTATATTTTTAAGAACGATCCTTTTTATTTATGTTTCCTAGCATAGGTTTTAAACAATAACTATGGATTGTAAACTGAGAACTGCATTGTGTAATCATGTCTACACAGAAATATCACTGGCAAAAAATCTGAGGTCAAAGTACACTGGTTATAATTAATTAAGGAAAAATCACAAAAATGACGATTACTCAAAAAGTTACATGTAGAAATGAAACTGACCCACTGTATACCACAGATAGTAAGATATAAAATAACATGAAAAGAAATTACCAAACAATTATATGTTATAGAATTTAGCATAAGCACAAAATGAACAATTCAGATATACCACTTTGTATTAAGAAACATTGCGTTCAATATGGAGAAGAACTTCCCGAGAAGCAATAGAGCACACACAGAGACGTGTGATGCTGTCAATAATGCAGTCTATTCGTTCTGTGTGAAGTGAGAGCTGTTTCTCTTGCAAAGCATTTTCAAGCGTGGCATGGGTCTAAAGAGAAAGACTGAGAGTAGCTATACTTCTTCCTAGAGCATCTCAAACATGCTCGATAGGATTCAGGTCGTGTGATTAAGGTCGCCGCTTTTTGTGCTGAATTGTTTGTTGCTGAAGATAATCAACCACGATGCGAGCCCTGTGAGGTTTAGCGTTGGAAGCGTTGGTTTCCTAGCGATAGCAGAAACTCATGAATTATTGCCCGTCATAAGAGCGCATATATGCATCAAGGATGTCATCTCTATAGGCACGGATCCATGTGGTACATTCACGGTTCCATGTGGAAACACATGGAGGTCTGTGCGGCCACCTAGAGAGATACCACTTCAAACACAGACACCCTTCGTATGCAACTCTTTCAAGGATGTTCGATGGATGATAACGGGTTCCGAATTCTATCCAATTCAAATAACGCCTACTTACACTTTGGAAGCTAAACCTAAATTCATCCGTAAAAAGAACAGCTCTCCGCCGTCCAGTGGACATATTGACGTTGTAAGGTCCCTCACTTGAAATTCTAAGTTAATGTTGGAAGTGAGGAACCTAGGAACTGATAAGCGAATAATCGCTAGAGTTCGAAGACAGGAAACAACAAGAGAGAAGGGTAAATAACCCTTTATTATTTCTATAAGATTTAACAAGACTCCGCCTGGGAGTGAACAAATAAAGTCCGCACTTTGGGACTTGAACTTAACAGACTAAGAATTAAACTACTAAGTATAGCCAAAGCTATCAAGGTACAATGAGAGTTGGCCCCTTAACCTATTTTACTACGAAGCTTAGCAAGGGCCTGAGTACGGCCGAGCGTATAACAGCTTTGAGAGAGGGAGCGGCCAAAAAGGCAGACGCGCGTAGTTCAGAAACTCTGTTTCTCTCTCTGTCTCGGTAAGTAACTTCGTGGTTTAAATACCGCTCCTTCTCATTAAATATTCAGCAAATTCCAAAACTACGTTCTGGCCGGAAGTAGTAAGTTGAAGTTAAGAATTTGACAGGAAAGGCACTTTAACTTAAAATTTAACTGTTAATAAAATTAACATAATCCTTACAACGTGTACACCTTAAACGTTCCCTTCTATGATGTGACATGATCGGCATGCAAATGGCTGGGCATCTCACGTGCGGGCCTCCTTCGTGAATCCTTCCGCACAGGGTTGACATCGACACCAAACTTCGGCTGATTATAGCTAGGGAGGATCTAAGATGAGTCAGAGTTGCTGTTCTATTCCTTCGTGCACAACAAGTATCGGTCATTGGCGCTCGTCGTAACGGTTGGTCATCCTTTGCTAAACCTTCTGGAAGCCTAATCTTGTGGTTATAAATTGTTGCCAAATTCTCTGAATTACAGAAGGACTCACATTTAGCCATTTGACCATTTCTGACTGACTGTGTCCTGCCTCTACTCCCCAATAGCTCTCCATCGCAGTTCTAACGGACAAATGATGCCTGGAGGTCACTATTGCAAATTGGCCATCCACATTTCTTATCTCAGTATCGAAACGAAATTTACGGGCTTTCTCACAAAGATGTAATTTCATTCTCCTCGCAGATAACGTATTCCGATCGCAGCACCTCTAATATGCATACTGCAGTTTTACTCAGCAACTCTTATTTGACGATATATCCAAATTTTAAATGAATTGGCTTATTTCTGAATGAGTTATCGCTATTTCTGTAATTTTTCCTTAATTTTTGGAAACCACTGTATCTTATTATACCGAATTTTATGCATACATCATTCAGCTCTGTGTCAGTGTTAAAAAATAATACAAGCTTTTCTAAAATGCAGGATCGTCATTTTAATTGTAAAAAAATTCAACAAAATTATTACACTTCTTATTTATTAAATAAATTTTAAATATAAAAAATTTCCCAAATTTATCTGAAAATTGATCTTTAGTCTCATAATTTCACAACATTAACAAGTATTCGATCTTAAAAATGTGATGTGCACACCACATGACTGACTTTCTTGTATGGCCTGGTAAGTAATACACATTTTTTCTCCAGTTCATTTAAACTTATTTCCTCAAATTTTTCTAAGTTAACCGATCGCTCGAAAAAGTTAAAAATGACATCAAAAAATCCAAATTTTGAAATTAAGCTTCTCGGTCAATTTACTCGTACGAGTGTCAAATTTCTAATTATTTTATTTCTTATAGCAGTTATAAAATTTTTCAAATATAAGTAGGAACCGAGAGACGGCATTAAAATTTAGATTTTGCAATTTGTCGAAATTTATTTTTTTTTCAAATTTACATTATCAAAACATGAATATATTCGTCAATTTAAATACTTCTGTAATTGGAAGTATATGACTACGACCAACGATTACAAAAATAAAAGCTAAGTAAGGACTCTTCAGCTTGATAACGGGATAGATATACATATATCCTATATAATTTTGGTTCTGCTGATTGCGATAAAAAAGAAGATGCACAAATAGATGTTATGGCAGTGCCATATATAAAATTTCAATGTTCTACGGCTATTCGGTTTTGAATTATTCAAGATAATACATACGTATGTACGTACAGATGTCACGAAAAAAAAATCTTTTGAATCTATTTTAAATCCATTTTAAAATTATTTTAAAATACAAAAGTGCTTTCTTCTGTCCGCACGTACAGACGTGCAAAAAAATTCACGCAAAAATGGTGCAAATAGATTCGGGAACAACCAGAATGGATATTTCCGTAGAAATTTATGATTTCCGAACTTTTTCACAATTATAATACTTCCTTGACTTCGTATAAAGAAGTAAAAATTAACTATAGCATTTAATGCAGATTTTACGTAAGGGTAGCAAAACCTATAAAATATTTCCTTATTATTAAATGTGTTCAAATCTTTCCATGCGATTACCTCCGAAAGTGACTAGTATTTCTGATAATACGAGATTATTTAAATGGATGTATAGTATTTTAACATCTATATATGAAGAAGAAATATAAAGATGTATATAAAGATGAAAGTATGTGTCTTTGTTTGTTCGTTAATAACTCAGTCGCTACTATAGCTATCATCACCAATCTTTCTACATTTCTTTTCTAGGCTCTGGAAAGGTCGATGTTCACTTTTGTCCAAAAGAAACAACTCTAATTAGCCTTGCTGGGCCCATGTTTCCAGAAACAAGTAATACTATTCCATTAAGCTTGCTTGCTTAGCTAAAAACTTCTTTGAAATTTCACGGCTTCAAATCAAAAACTCAAAGTACTGCTCTGTTGTCATTGAACAACGACTATCTGTAGTCAAAGTATTAAACTCTCAATTGTAAATTTGACTTCTGAAATTCTTTATTTCTAGCATCAATACCCTGTGTGAAAAACTGCATTGTAACTTCTATCATTCCTTGAATGCATTGTAACCTATATCATTCCTTGAATGCATTGTAACTTATATCATTCCTTGAATGCATTTTAACTTATATCATTCCTTGAATGCATTGTAACTTATTAAAGCCAATGTACGGTAAGATCGCGCATGGACGTTTGCTAACGTATAGTGTCTGAAATTCAAAGGGGCAACTCAAAGTAGTTCTGTTAAGAGGATGATGGTAGGAGAGAGGAATGGGAGACCCTCGGACTATCCCCCCCGCTGTGTTCCCTCTCGGACTTCTAAAATAGGGCAAAACTTATCCGTTAGCTTGGTACAATAATCTCTCAATCACCTATGGCACTTCAGAGTTGCTGCTCCAGTGTCTACTTGTACTTGTAACTTACTCAGTTCTCTTTTCTATGCTTTAACAGATATCCTTTCCTAATCCATAAACCAGCATGTTTTCAAAATATATTATTGACTTAAACGTTTACTTATAACTTAACTCTTTCCAGCATCTACTTGTTTTTATTTATTGTATTTTAATTTCATCGATTGTACACACCTCATCTTGTGTTTGGCGCACTATAATCATCTTTTGTTTTGCGCCATAATCTCTTACTCACTCACTCACTTTCCAGCATCAATGCTGACTAATCATCAGTAATATAACTTAACAATTTAATTATGACTTAATAGTTTTCAGTACCAATAATAATTTTTAAACCTTAATAAACAATTAATCAATTTGTATAAAATTTTAAGCAAAGTTTTAACAAGCAAAATTAACAGTTTCTTCAGTAACCATAAACATACCAAACGATTTTTGGAAAACATTGATAATGAATTTTTACTGTCAAATCAAAATATTTGTAAGGTATTTTCTCTCTCCTTCCAGCATGCCTTCGTGGTGTAACGGTAGCACACATTTGGCGCGTATGCTCGAAGTCCAGGGTTCGAGTCTTGGCGAGGGCATAGCCCATTTTTCACCTCTCCTGTTCAACAAAGAAAAACTATTGATTCTAGCGTTACGCCCGAACTAAAAAGGTGGTGGAAGATAATTCACCACCACCAGGATTTGGCGATTGGGTCCCCTAATCCCAGTCGCCCTTTAAATGAGATAGTATACAAGGTACTTTCTCCCCTCTGCCAGCATACCTTCGTAGTGTAATTGTAAGCAAACTCGTAGTCGAGAGGCCCAGGGTTTGATTTCCGGCCAGGCCAATACACATTTTCCACGTTTTTAACATCAAAAAAGCTCTGCTGACTCTACATATTTTTTATTAAGTTTGTGAACTTGCATGATGTAAGTTCTAGTATAACCTAGATATCTGAGCATTCCCAGCAAGACAATGATCTTAATACTGCAAAAGAATAACATTTACGTATAAAGTACTAAGTAAACAGTAACTAATAAAGAAACCATGAATAATCTGCATGTTGCTTTAATATTATAAGGTATTTTGTCTCTTCTTTCTGCATGCCTTCAAGGTGTAACGGTAGCACACTCGGCGCGTATTCGAGAGTCCCAGGCTTGAGTGCCGGTGAGGGCATTGCTCATTTTTCGTGTTTCCTACTTCAAAATAACCTAATGTCTCTACAGTGGCGCCCGAACTAGAAGGTGATGGATGATAATTCTTCACCAGCAGGATTTGGCGACTGGGTCCCCTAATCCTCCAGTCTCCCTTTAAAAGGGAGAAGTATATAAGGTAATAGTAAAATAGTGAACGACGTCTGGTCATTCTAGCAAATTTCTCGCCCCATGACCATTCAGAACTCCGACAGTACCAACAACAAATGGGAATGATCAGCGTTCCGGCCATGACCTCCAAAATACACCCAAAGTAAAATAAACATTAATCTAATAAAATTTCGTGAAACCCAAGTCTTGGTCCGAGTAGCTAAAAAATTAATAAAAAGCAACCAAGGAAAGCAATACAAATACATTCGATAATATAAGACCATAATAATTTTTTCTCATTTTCCGAATTAACAACACAACAGGAAAGAGAAGTGAAAAAAAAAACATAACTAAAAATAATGAAGTTATTTATAAACCAAACTCAAAAAAGGAAAATTACATAAAATTGCAACCACACAGCACACACAAATAAAAGAAAAATAGAATTCAAAAAAATTTAAAATTTAAATCACCACTGCAAGCTTATCAGGATTAATCTTCTCCGCTATGGTCCTGGCCAATTTCTTCAATCTTTTAAAAATCATTTAAAATGTCATATATATTAAAAACATCATTTTTCTTAAACTCATTTCTAATATCAGTAAAATGTTTACATTTTACTAATTCCGCATAATGCTCCACAATGCTCGGTTCTTTACAAGTATCACCAGAATCTTGTAATTTAAAATTTTTAAGATAAAAAAAGAAAAGTCCGTGACCTGTTATAATTTGATTAACATCAATGTCTGAATATCATAATTTTTTAAAGTTTAATAAATTTCATATAACCGTTATTCCTATCGACCTTTATATGTGGAAGTATGTAATGTATTTTCTCTCTCCTTCCATCATGCCTTCGTAGTGTAACGGTTAGCACACTCGGGGCGTATTCTAAAGGTCCAGGTTCGAGTTAGGACTCTACAGTATAAATAAGAGAGCATAATGAACTCCTGAAAAATCTCTACAAAATCGATCTCTTTTGCCACTGTATTATCTATAAATTAGACTAAAAATTAAACCATCTCCTCTCTTGATATAACATCCCCAAACTTCTTTACGTGAAGCATATAAAAAATAGTGATTACGCAATCAAATTATAAGACATTATTGAAAGTAAACAAAATCTTTTTCCAAATTCATTAGGACAGCTAAGTCCAAAATGTTGAGAAATATAAGAAAACGAATACCAACTGGAATATTTCCTGTGTTCACCGTAGAAGCAGACATTGAAAGGTTTTAAAATTTAGCATGTAGTTCAAAACATTATTCGAATCGCTGTAATCTGATGTATAATAGAACTGAGTATATTCTTTATTTCTTTTATTTTATTCACTATTCATTGCTGAACTGGTCTGTATTTACTCTGACTTGTTATTTCATTCTTAGTCCTGTAGTTCAAAAAATCATTATGTAAGAGTATTCAAACTCTGCTTCTAAAAAGAATTAAAATAATTAATGTTTTAACGTTCAGAGCAAAATTTAAAAAAAAAGATTTTCTCATTTCTGTTGAACGATTTTTAATACTCATAGCTGCTTAATTATTCCAAATTATCAGAATCGCTGAATAGAAATGTGTCTCTCATCCACTGAGGTGCAATTAAATAAGAACAATTACGTATTTTTTTATTTCATTTTCAAGGTAAAAAAGGCAGTAATTACACTCATTAAAATAAGATATTTCCTTTCTTCCAAAAGATAATTATTCGGGACCATATAACAAGAGACTAATATCAATTATTTTATGAAAATATGAAAAGGAAGCAATATCTAAAATGCATCGCGCGTTTAGAAAGAAATAAAAAAAATCCTTCATTGTTTAATAGATTTAAATAAGGCCCTGTAATAAAATTTCCCTTCATAGGAACTTAATTATTTATCAATGAAAGATTTGAAATGAATTTTTCAAGAATTCTGCACCATTAATTTTCATTCTCCTCAATGTTTCTCCATAAATTAGCAATGTCTTTTGTTGATAATAATACTATTGCTAGCCAGGTATGCTTCCAGTTTCATCACGAAGGCCCGCTATACGCGTTAAGGATGGAAGTTTGGTTTGGTTTATTTGATTATAAAAAGCATGCTAGAGCTATTAGGTAGAGTAGGTAAGATACTTTCTAAAAGAAACGCCTTTCTGAAAGAAACGCTCTTGCATCCACGTTCGCATGGGAAAAACAACTCCCATGCACCCAGCCACTTCGCCTGAAATGCAGTTCAAGTCAAACTACCGGGGATCAGCGACATCTCGGCCGCTGGGGAACAATAAGGAAGGAGTAAGCACGACATTATCCCTCATTTAAAGGGAAACTGAAGAAACGGAGACCCAATTGCCAAATCCTGGTGGTGACTAATTACCGCCCAATACATTTTTATTTGGGTACCATTTGTATAGCGATATTATATTTATCTGAGCAGGAGCCAGAAAAATGCATAGTGCCCTCATCGGGATTCGAACTCCCGATTGCTAATCGAAAATGTTTCCGATTACACCACGAAGGCATGCAAAGGAAGGAGAAAATGCCATACAACATATTGTTACGGATTTGGTATTTAAATAGCTTATGTTAGTTGAATTGTAAATCAAATGGTTTATTTCCCTCCCATAGCAGCGCGTGACAAATATTAAAACAAAGCTAAGCCGGAAAATTGAAAATACAAGAGCGCGTGCATGTAACATTTAATAAATATCTCTTTTTGAAGTTCGAGGCAGCCCAGCAAGCAAGTCGTAGAGATTGCTACCCAGTCAGAGCTGTGCGAGTCCACGAGCCAGTGGATCAATTGATGGCTCGTTTAGATGATTTAACCAGACAAGTCAATGCTTTAATACGGAGTAGGAGTGAGAACAAAGTGGCTCTAATGTGTTGGAAATGTGGTATTGAAGGTCACATGCGGCGGCATTGCAGAACACCCCAGGGCACGGGTAATAAAACGAATGATTTGATAAGATCAGTGAATGCCTTGAGATGGAATACTGGTGAGAAGAAACCAACCCTAAAGTGCTGGAACTGCGGTGTTGAAGGCCACATACGAATGAACTGCAGAACACCCCAGAGCACGGAAAATTAGAGAAGCGGGTTAAACAGACAATTAAATGCCATGGGACGGAAAGGGATTGACATCCCGGGTTTCGGCAGCATTGGGAAGGGGACAGTGTTACGGATTTGGTATTCAACTAACATAAGCTATTTAAATACCAAATCCGTAACAATATGTTTAACATATATTTTCAATACTTAGAAACGCTATATTCAAGCATCAGGCAAATACT